GATGCCTAAAATATGCAGGAATGCGGTGGAAAAAAGGGAAGTCGAATTCGATTCCGAGTCTAAGGATTGACGATAATTCGAATCGTTTTTTAAGCATATTACATAAATTTGTAACGCCCTCCTACGTGCCTTCACACTTGGTTGTAATGGCAAGGAAACGCGATAACACAGCCTAACGACCCTGTCAGGATATCCCTTCTGCAATAAATGATGCAATAGTTCTATTTTAGAAAAAAAAACGCTTTGTTTCATTTAATAGAATTAATGATATAACTTCCATCGAGAACAGGAAAATTCCATCTCAAGAGCACATTTTATTATGAAGTCCAAAAAAGGATTCATTCCCGCAATAGACCGGTTAGTAAATAAAAAAACCTCGCTTTGTCAACAAAATATGGCTAATTGCCCTTCCACACGTGTTAAAAAGGCTTGCATGTCACACACATTCGGGCATATATATATTTTGGCGTAAGATTGTCGGGTCTCAGAGTACTGGATATTCCGGTGACCATAGTCCATCATTCACGCTCATAAATTCATAAACACTACAAACATTCATACTATATGCACAGTTAACAATTTTGGAGGAACCGGGGTTATTGTGGTACATAATAAATATAAGCAAGAGCAAAGTATTTCCGTCGTAGAGGAAAAGTTGATGTACAAGTACCGTTGAGGCAGTCCAAGAGTGGCAGAAAAAGAGAAATATGGACAATACTGCAAGTGACCCTTGTGATAATCAAAATATGATTGGTTCGGTATGTGTGCCCTGAGAAACAACCTTATAAGAGGCAGTAAATGATCTTAAGACAAGAACGACTCAAAACAGCTCAACCCCCTCAGTGATGCCCAATGCCAGATAACATTTCGACAAGTATGTCTTTTCACAATGTCGAACGGTTTTGACAGATCGGTGTACACTATATTACTATAGTACACATAGTATTCTCGAGATTCAACTGAATTTAAAATAAAATCTCTATATAAAAATAAATTTTCTGTGGAAAACGTCCCTTAACAAACCCATGCTGATCAGCCAACACAAAGTTTTAAAAGTTACAGAAGGTGACGCCATAGTATTATTTTGTTCGCCTAATGTATAATCTTTGCGATAAGAATCTAATTATACCTTATAAGACAGTACGTTTTTATTGTCATCAGTAGCCGTAGAAGAATTGATTAATAATACGCGTAGATATTCGTTAGTGTCGTGTGTTAAATGTTAAGAAGTCTGTCCCACAAATGAAAAACCACAATTATGTTTTAGTGGACTCACAAATTTGTCAAAAGAGTGAAAAAAAATGGAGATTTCCACAACCAGAAAGATTATTTTTTACTCCTAAAAATATATCTCAAATTAGTACACTAGAATTTATAGTATAGTAGATAACTAGTAGAATAGATAAAATAAGTTGTAACCCCGAAATGAATTAAAAAGCAAGACAATATATATTTATTCAAAGAATATTGTTTCCAGCAGAAAATTGTCAAAAACTTAAGTTCTCTTAAGCGTACAATAAAAATAGGTAGACAGTAAAATATCTTAAGCTTATATTAGTAGATAGTAAAATCTTTGAGAATTTTTTATTTCTAGGGAACTACAGTGAAAGCTAAAGTTGGCTTAAGTTATCATTGTAAGGGTACCGAGTTCGAATCTCAGCTACCCTGAATTTCGAACCAGTATACTTACAAACAGTGTTTTACCATTGAATCGATTAGGCGTGTTAGAGGTTGTACCTTCGGGAAGACCATCTGACCATAACATTCTTTTTTAGATTTTGGTTAGACTTTTTAACATTTGTAATAGATATCAATTGTAGAATAAAGTACGTAAAAACTCGAGTAATTTTATTTTGAACTAAATAGATTTATACTAAACATTTGCTTATTTTACAAACTATATACCCTTTGTTGACTTCATTAGGGTAATTCAAACAATGAATTTTGTGGAAAATTATAATTAATATATAATCATTAATCATTATCCTTGACTTTTCGACTTAGGCCAGCTCATTCTGAAGCTATACATCGGTTTATTCTTGCATATATTCATGGCCATTGTGTGTTGCATGGCGGCTTTCTATACTTGGCCAAGTTCACTTTTCAAAAAATGGACTCTTTTTATCCTTTTGTTCGGCCCTTCTGGGTACCGTTGATTAATTCAACCACATCCACCTTTGTCCCATTGTCTGTATTGCATTGGGTGTGTGATTATGCATGAGTGGCGTGGAAAAACGGTTGACACAAACACCATTTTTGTTCGAAGTAATGACATCAAGTCATTTGACAGTTTCTTAAAAAATTAATTAACTCAAACAAAAACAAAACTCAATTTGTGTTAATAATAAATCAAACCAGGTGCAACATAATTCCCGCCAGAGAGAAGAAGTTGATACAAATACCGATGTGGCAGTGCAGAAAATACAGCTCGGCACCTACTGCTCCAATAAGCAGGCATAGATTATGGCAATACGACAGCCAAAAGATGGGGTAAATTCACAACAAAAAAACTTTAAACAGAAGGCTTTAATGTGGATAGATATTGAAATATCTCTGTCAATAATGTCAAATATCAAATTCCGTTATGAAGTTGCAGATGAAATAAGGCTAATGCTGTACCAACATAGACAAATTAAATACTGGAGAATGGGAGTTAGAAGGTAAAATGATCGGAACGGTACGGAGCAAGCCGATGGTATTACCAACGCATATAACGTTATTGGCAGTACTACGCAAACAATTTGTCATTTCTTTGAAGGGCCACAGAACTATCCGTCATAATTGCAATATCATCGGCATGTAGTAGTACCTTAATAAGCCTTTTTTAAATTCTAATACCACATTCAATGGCTGTCTGGGGTCGTCAATGAAAAGAGCGAATAAAAGAGAATTTAGCAGACATCCCTGTCTGACCCCGTTCCGTACTTCAAAAAACTCTGAAATCTGCGCCCTCAAACAAGATTCATCTATTGAAAAAAGTGACTTTAGGATGTTCAGAAACTAATTGAGCAACCCAAATTTCTTAGTTTCAATATCAAAACCTTTCCGCAACCCAAAAATCCTTGGATACAAATATTTCCTTCAAAATCCAATCATTTTTTTTTTTTTTTGATAAGATTCCGTCGATCAATAACAAACTTTACGGGCGCTTTGAGTACGTATATGCAAAGCCATAAATGTTGCATCCTTAAATAAAGAAGAACTGAAATGAAACTCGATGGATTAACTTCGTCAGCACATTCTATTCCCCGAATGAAAGACAAAATATCATATAAACGATGAACCGATTCTCAACCCTTTCGCAGATATTCAAATTTTATGTTTTTCTCAACTATCTCCGGTTTTCGTCATAACTCTTCTCTTACCTCTTGAACTACTCATTTTTGCGGAAATCCAAAAAGAGCATAGACAAAAGCGTTAAATTTCCTTTAAGAAGGCAATCTTCTAGATCTTTAAATTTAATTTGTCGTAACAAAACAAACATTAAATCTTTCAAAAACTGCTAAATTTAAAATTAGTAAAAAATCTTTAAATTGCAAATTCATTGCAAAAAAATTGATTGTAGAGTTTGTCAAATTTAATAAAATCTTCTTCGTTCTAGTGATATCCGTTTTAATTACATCGAACCAAAATGCAGAAATTGTATGCTACATGGAAAAAAGTGATGACGGTGTGGAAAAAGGGGAACTGTGGTTAATGTTAATTCAAATTTTTTCCCAACTTTATCTTAACAAAAAGGCACAAAAAGAAAGAAAAATGAAACAAAGCACATCAAAAATAGATAATAAACATATCTACCAACCAAAGCAGAAAAATTGGACAAAGTATCTCACTAAACAAGACAAAAGAAAAGAAAATAGCAATACAAAAATAGTAAAAAGTAACTTTATCTTAATATAAAAGCACAAAAAAAGAAAAATCCAACGTAAAAATTAAACAAAACACATAAAAAAGACAATTATGAACGACCAAATTACTGAATTTTTCTCTTTTTTGGGCTTTTTGTCCCTACTATTACCGAAAAAAATTACATTAAAATGGATTAACCCACGTCCTTAACCTCTCCTTGTAAATAACAATTGTAATTAAAAAATTATCAGTATAAAGACCCACCAAAAACCCACAAACAAATAAAAAATAAAAACGCATCAGACACTACTTGCATGTATCATCTTATAAAAATGATACTCTTGTTCAGTTACACATTAAATTAAAAAATAGCCCAAACACAGGATTTAGAAATATAAGCATAAATAAATACACTTATTCACAGATTGTGGTAAATTTCTAATTTAAAACGCGCAATCTGGTGTGAATGTACTTTTATTAAATAACAAATCTTGAATATTACTTTTTATTAATTTTTTATCTTTAATGTATAATTTTGTTATTTTATACATTAAAATTCGTTCTTTTTCTTATTGCAAAATTTCTTGTGTATTTTTTAATGAATATATTTCAGACATATTTAAAATATTACTTATGTATTTTACAAAACTTCCCCATTCTAGAAGGAAGCCGTGAAATTTTATAATTCCTGGAATGTTAAAAGTTGTCTTAATCTTTTAATCATTATGTCAGAAGTAAAGAAATATTTTGTAGTAAAAATAATATTTAAAAAGTGATCGGAAGTCGAAAAAAAAAATTTTCCTCCGGGCCGGATTTGAACCAGCGACCTATGGATCCCTGCCACTTCATTACCGACTACAGTCCACCGCTCTACCAACTGAGCTACCAGAGGAGGTTGAAAGGAACGCTGCAAAACAGCTACATCAACCGAACAACTATTTTTTATGAAAATTAAATATTTCGTAACATTTATTGTTTTTATGATTTAACAATAAATTAAATAGGAGCTAGATAGAAAATGTATGTTTCGAACGTGTATTTTACACACGGTTTTGGGTTTTTAAATATTTTATAGCCGTTTTTTGTTAGAGACAATTAAAAAATTAGTGAAATATGGTTTATGTTAAATATGGAGGAAAATAAATACTTACGTTTAGATATAAATATATAGAAATCCTAAAGAGGGTCAATTCTACATTTTAATAGCCTCGGACGGTAAAATATATGAACACCACCACCACTAGGAAGTTTTAAGCGATAAGGATTTAATATGGGTTGAATTGGAATTTATGTGCGATTTTCCCGCTTTGAACGCGATCACACTTGATTCTGAGATTCGGTTCCGTACTGAGTTGTAGGCAGCGTGTGATACTGCGATTGTACTTTGTAGATTTATGCTTGTGGACGAGTTGGGGCTCGGTTGCTAGGCGAGGCCGCTTGGGTCGCTATGTTGTCGGTGGCGAACGCCTCGTGCGACAAAAACGAAAACGCATTTACTTCAATGAAGAAATTCCAAACAAATAAAAGGGAAAAAGAAAACAAACGTTAACAGGTCAATTAGCACAGCATGATTTGTATTTGTGTTAATTCGGTTAAATTCACACAGTTCAAGAAAACGACAAAATACTTCAAAGGCAATTATGTGCATGCATGCAACAGTTGTTGTTGTTTTTTACTTTTATTTCAAACTTTTCCAATTATTATTCGACTTTTTATATTTTTATTTTTATTTATAATTTTTTAAAAATATTTTTAGTATTAAATAGTATTTATTATGTAACTTTTTGTATACCTTTCAACCTTTTCCATTTCATTCATTTTGGTTTAAATTGCTTACTATTTATTTCAAATCTTCTGAAATGTGAATAAAAAATACGGTATACTAATAGTATTATAAAATTAAACAAGTATAATAAAATATAGTTTGTTATAATATTATTTCAACTAACCTCTAATGTTTCTGGTCCTAAACTACCTCATTCTTGACCGCTCATGACCTCAACAAATTATGAATCAAAAGGTCACTAAGAAACAAATTTTGATTTCAACTTTTCCAATATTCGACTTTTTATATTTTAATTTAAAATTTTCCTATTAATATTCGATTTTCCATTTGATATTATACAATTTCCATTTTATTTTGGGCTTTTTCATTTGTTATTTAACTTTTTTGTATATGTTTAAACCTTTTCCACATGTATTTGATCCATTTTCAAATTTATTTAAATAAATTACTATTTACTTAAAATCTTGTAAAAATTACACTCCAAATTTTAAAGTATCTTTTTAATAAGAAAATGCAAAGTAAGAAAGATGAATAAAAATACTGTATAATAATAGTATTATACAATTGAAAAATTATAATAGAATATAATTTGTTATACTTTTATTTCAACCTTTTAATGAATAAATTTCAACATTTTCCATTTAATTTCAACTTTTACAATATTATTCTATTTATACTTTAATTTAAACTTTTTCCTTTAACACTTGTCTTTTCTATATGATATTTTACAATTGCCATTTTAATTTGGCTTTTTCAGGTGTTATTTAACTTTTTTTATGTTTAAACCTTTAACACATGTACTTTGTTATACTCTTATTTCAACCTTTTCCAAATGCATTTCAACTTTTTCCATTTTGATTTCAACTTTTCCAATATTCGACTTTTTATATTTTAATTTAAAATTTTCCTATTAATATTCGATTTTCCATTTGATATTTTACGATTTTCATTTTAATTTTGGCTTTTCCATTTGTTATTTAATTTGTTTTTTTATGTTTAAACCTTTTCCACAAGTATTTGAGTCATTTTCAAATTTATTTAAATTAATTTTTATTTACTTAAAATCTTGTAAAAATTTCACACCAAATGCAAAGTAAGAAATTTGAATAAAAATACAGTATAATAATAGTATTATAAAATTTAAAAAATATAATAAAATATTGTTCGTTATACTGTTATTTACATCTAACTAAACTAACACTAAGGATTCTAGGTTCGAGGTTCTACACTACCTTTCTTCTTGATCGCTCCTCACAATTTCAACAAACTATGAAACAACAGGTCACTAAGAAACATACATTTCATTTCAACCTTTGCCAAATACATTTCACATTTTTTCCATTTTAATTTCAACTTTTCTAATTATTATTTGGCTTTTTATATTTTAATTTAAACTTTTTCATTTAAATTTAGATTATTTTACAATTTGCATGCTAATTTGTGGTTTTCCATTTATTTAACTTTTTTGTTTATATTTAAACCTTTTCCATGTGTATTTCATCTATTTTAAAATGTATTTAAACCTTTTTCCTACTTTTTTCAAATCTTGTAAAAATTGGTCAGCAAATTTTAAAATATCTTTTTAATAAGTAAATACCAAGTAAGAAAGATGAATAAAAATACAGTACAATAAAAGTATTATAAAACTGAAAAAGTATAATAGAATATAGTTTGGTTACTTTTGTTTCAACCTTTTCCAAATAAATGTCAACTTTTCCATTTTAATTTCAACTTTCCAAATTATTATTCGGAGATCGTGAGATGCATTCTGGTGTGACGTAAGTTTTAGAAAAACATTTTCTTTAAAGTGCTAATGTTTCGATCTTTATTGAGATCATCATCAGGGCCTGGGATTTACAAACAAAAAAAACCTACGTCACACCAGACCGCAACTCACGATCTCCGAATAATTATTATTTAATGGTCACTAATCACCACACATTTCTCAATTATTATTCGATGTTTTATATTTTAATTTAAAATTTTCCATTTAATACTCAATTTTTTCATTTCATGTTTTACAATTTTCATTTTAATTTTGGCTTTTCCATTTATTATTTAACTTTTCACTTTATGTTTAAACCTTTTCCACTTGTATTTGATCCATTTTCAGATGTGTTTAAAGTAATTACTACTTAAAATCTTGTAAAAATTACACACCAAATTTTAAAATATATTTTTAATAAGCAAAACCAAAGTACGAAAGGCGAATCAAAATACAGTATGATAATAGTATTGTAAAATTGAAAAAGTATAATAAAATACAGTTTGTTTTACAATTTTATTTCAACCTTTTGCACATATATTTAAACTTGTTCCAAATATATTTAGTCCTTCTTCCATTTTAATTTAAGTTAATTATATTATTAATTCATAGTTCTAAATTGAACCCAATTTCCCTTGTGTTGAACCCAATTAGTTTTGAAGAACATGAAATATTGTTTAAAAACCTTAATGTTAAAACTAATTTTTTGATAATTATCTAACACCCCTCCTACTTATATTGGTTTCAACCTATATTGTATCTGCCCTTCTTCATATTTTTAATTTATATCTTTCACTGGGGATATTCCCACCACATTTTAAAACAACACTTGTTATATCATTATTTAAAAGTGTATCAAAATTAGATATTAATAACTACCGACCCATTTCTTTATCCCTATGCTTAGCAAACATCATGGACAAATATATCACAAATCAAGTACTTTGCAAAAATAATAAAATTTCTAATTATCTTGTTGGTTTTCTTCCTAGTAAATCAGCAGAACAAGTCCGTTTGAAGTTACTAATCTGATTGCTCAAGAATTCTACAGTAAAAAAAGGTTGTAGGCATTTTTGGGACATTAAGAAGAATGAAAATGTTAGTTAAACCGAACACCAAGAGATCGCATGGAAAGCTGATAACGTGATGCTCACAACTTAATGTACTGGGGAATGATAATTAAGACAAAAATAAAAAAAAGTTAAACGTGAAATAAAATGAAGCTATACAATGCTAATATTTCTTTAGTTTGAAATTTGTTAGAATGTATATATCACTATATTATGTATTTACTAAATTTCCTCTTCATACCTGCGAGGTGATGAACCTGTAGTTTCATCGTTCTTGATCATTTTGTTGCTTCCATAGCTTTTTTGTCAGCGTAGGAGCCAAAAGATCGGAAACGACGGAACTTCATATTTTTTTATTAGTTAAAATAAACTACTGTCAAATATCATACAAAGGATTCTTTATATAACGGTATTTACTCATTAAAACAAAATATAATTGCATGTAAAAATAAATAATAAAAAAAATTGTTTTGGCTTCCTTCCATTGTAAAGAGTCTGACAAATGTTCCAAATAGTCGGATCTAAAATGTGATAAATGAAGACAAATTTTAACAGAGAGAATCCATTCCGTGATAAACAAACGAAATTGTGAAGCATACGGAAATTAGGAATATTTCAAAACAGAATCTGTTTTCAACAACTGCTATTTTCGATTTGGGAAAATGCAACGGATTCTCAAAAATTGGCCCACCCGAAAAATCGACCATCTGCTGTTAGAAGTATTTACCGTTTAGGACGTTTCTCCGACTTCAATTAGAATTTTTTTCTGTGTAGTTATTAACTGTAAACAATTGTGATATATGACCAATTTAAACTGGCTCGTCATGTAAAAGCGAATTAACAGGCTAGATCAACGGCTTCTTTTGATTGAGTTTATGTTGATCCAAATAGTTTATGTCTAAAGGAATGCGGATGAGCCTATACGATCCAGTAAAAGGCAATAAAACCATAAACCTATGTTTAGGAGGGTATGTTGAAACTTTCGGATCATTTTGTTGTTAGAGACAGTCTATTCTCTTCTAGCCGCCGGCTTTTCCTGTGATAAATGTAATCTTGTGTGCTTCTGATTACTAGACTGAGGGACTTTTAAACGGAAAGAAACCGTGGGAAAATAAACACCGATCCTATTTTTGTATTCAAATCAATCCATTTCTCCGGATAGAGGGAGATAGCGAATAATGTTGAAGGCTCAACAGAAATAATATTGGATTTGACACCTGCTGGGAGTCCAACGTGCCCAAGATGCTGACAGCTGCTCTAGGACGCACCTATGTTTTTCCTAGCCGGGGGTTTTTCTATTATTCGTCGTTCGGCAGGAAACACCTTTTACCCATTGCCTATAGTGAAGAAAGTTGGAATGAAGCACTTTACATAAAAGATGGTTGATTCTGATAATTCTACAACACTAGTAAACACTTTTATCGAGGAATTAGACTAACGGGGAGATGAACTATTGTTGGAAGTATGATAAAAAAAATTACACTATTTGGTAAAAAGCAGAAAAACAGCCATGTTGTAACCTCAAGTAAATCCTATTTTGATGATTGTAGTAGAGAATCGTAACAAAACTTTAATTTGTCGTGTAACATCTCAGAGCGTAAATTAGATAATTTTAATATTACGGCTATTCAAACTTTCTTTGTTTGTTGTTGTTGTTATTGGGAGAGTGAGAGATTTATTTATAAAAAACCAATACATTAAGAATTAAAAAAGAAATGATGGTAAAGAAAAAGGCAAAAAAATTTATACACGTTTATACAAGAAAATATTGTTTAAATATT